AATGGAGTAATTGTTGGGATGCCACGGAGAAACCGGGGAAGCCCCCGGAGGAAAACTCCGTGATGCCTAGACCACGGCCTTGCCCAACACAAGTTATAAATTCGGGCACCGCCGGGAATCGAACCCGAGACCCCAGGATTACAAGGCCAGCGTTCTAACCGTAATATGTATTACATGACTATTTCACAGTGTATCATAAACAAAGTGAGCGCGTAAGGGTCATGGACAAACCCATCCACACCGAGAGTCTAAGCATCCTGTGAGCAACACGAATAATCCTTTGGGGAATTCTTCAACAGTTCGGTAAATGTTCTATGTGAACTCTCAGAGACAAACGTTTACTGAGCTGAGGTAGGGCCGACATTATTCTCAGGGACAGCGACCGATCTAATGTATAGCCCCTCACAGTGGACGATAGTCGTCTACATCAAGAACGTTTTCCCTGCAATAAATATTTTCCAATTCTCGCTGCATTTCACGATCCTTAGAAAATGAAGTGGCCATTGTTCACCAACTAAGCATTTCCGGACAAAGGTTGGACAATAACTTTTTCAGACGCAGTTTTGAATCCTATGCAATTCTGTTAAAAAATAAATTTATTCCGAAACACAGAATAACCCAGAACTGGTGGCTTTCGGTGTCTCTTAAGCACAAAGAAGTTGCACCTAATGACCAGTATCCAACTCAAAAATCTCGTTAGTGAAGTTTTGCTTCGCTGAGGTCTTTCAGGAGCAAACTCTGTAGCCTTAGAACATTCTTGTCGAAGACAGATAATTTCCGATGTGTCGAAAGATTATTATCAATAGCAAATCGGATCTGTGTAGAGAAACTAATGAGTCTAGAAATAGGAGATTTGGTTAGTTCATAGTAACGTCAAGAGTTTACTTTCAAACTGCATTGTCTTAGCACAGGAAGGAGATGGACTAGCTCTCTCTTCCGTTGGGTTCTCAGTTGAAGGTTTTCAGAGCACCTGTTAAGTGCTGTAGGCGACAAGCTCCTTTGTCCTCGGAGCACAGCCACAGGCGGGCGACGAAGGGCTGGTTCCTCTCCGCGAAACGCGACATGCACGCAACACTCTGAAGATCACAGTCCGTGACAGAGGGCGCCAGGAAACGTTAGGGGACAGCTAACAGCCCCTCTTCTACATTCACCAGCAGGCCATACTTGGGATTGTGAAACAAGAATTGAGAATTAAAATATCCTGCCAAAACACACGCCTAATAAAGTTTTAACGAAAATTCTGGCTATGGGCTTGACGACCGGGTTCGATTCCCGGTAGAATTTTTCTCTTCGGCACACATGTCAAGATCGGCTGCATGTCCCAGTCAAACTCCTAACCGATGAGTGTCTTTCCCAGAGTCAAAGTGGCCGGAGCGTGAAACTGACCACAAACATCCATCGAGTACCATAGTTAAGAATGCGGGGAGCGTGGGCAAAGCTTCCACTTACCAAACGTGTCCTTGGCGAGTTGCTCAATTAAGAACAGGGACGGCTTTAACGTTCATTTATTAAATTCATATATTTTGATAATCATGTACACCTCTGATAACTTTAAACGCCCGGATGGCCGGATGTCTGTAGTCTTCGCTCTTAACTTTTCGTAAGGAAATGAATGCTCCTGGAACAAAACTGCCGACATTAATAAAACTCGATACGGGCGCTATACTATCGGAAGCTTTCCCACTTGGCAACAATACTAACGGTGACGGGTACAAATTAAGTCTCTGCTTGTTCTATTCCGTTCTTGAATTAAGGCCTATGAGTATAAGGCAAAGTAGCCCCTGTGACTTATTTCGGTCTCAAAGGGAGAAAGTAACGAGAAGCTGGAGAAAACTGTGCAATGAGAAGTTTCGTAATTTGCACTCTTCACCAACTATTATGGTGATCAAAACAGGGAAGGGCAGAAAATGTAGCACGCAAGGAATAAACAAGGTATTCCTACAATTTTCTTTTTTTGAAAACCTGAAGGGAAGAAACCACTTTGAAGCCCCGGACGCAGACGAAAGGGTGGGTAATATTACAGTGAAAAGTGTCAACTGTGTTCATTTGTCTCAGCACAGGGGCTGCAGACGGGAACAAAACATCGGCGCAGTGAATTGTACTTCGGCTTTCTCCGTCCTGTTTCTGGGAGAAGGCAGACAGGAGTGTAAAACGGCATTAGAAAGGAACATCCGCCATAGTTAATTTTTCACCTGTGGACAAATGTGAGAAAACTATGAGATAAATTCGTATAGTACAAATATCCTTTTTGCCTAACCACACAGGACTACATTTACGCAATTTCCTGAATAGAAACTATGCACGCTCATTTCCTTTATCCGTTTAAGATTACATCTCTCAGTGCTTTATCTGCTGCATACGAGCATAAAAAGTGACTTCGTGCATCCTGCATTTGGAGCAGGAAAACTCGAACAAATGTTCACAATTTTTGGTCAATATGTTTGCGGCCTTACTATTCGAATTTTCAAACTTGACATTTATCGTTTCACACACCATTATATCAATATGCATATGCCTACATCATACATAAATAAATAAATACTTTAATTAATTTATTTCTACAAACACTGTTTCTTAAATTTGTTTCCCATTTCGGGGATCATTCTTATAGTTCTAATTATCAACTCCCATTCGGTGTAAATCTGCTTGGCCCTAACATTTTCTCACGGAGTCCCCAATGAATTACATCAATCTCCTTCCACCCCTAATCTAATACCAGTATTTCTCCTCCATACAACAGCCACGACTCAGACAACATCTCAAACACAGAACTGAATGCTGTTGTTCCTGTTAAATACTTCTCAGTGGTTAATAACGACTGGTTTCCTTTTACCATTAGTTTCATCATCTGACTTTACTTTCTAGAATTACTCCCAGATAGATTCAGAAAATATTAATCCTGATTCAAAAACTTGCCTACACGGCACCCTTCTCCGTCGAATCCTGTGTTAGGCGTTCTTACTGCCATTTCCTTGGTCCAAAAGTAAAATACTCTTCCTCGCATCCACATTTCAACAGTCGAGAATTTCAGCTTCATTGCCTTACTACTCTTTACAAGTGAAACACGTTAATAGGCATTTGTGCTTATAGTGGAAAGGAAGACTCTGATGTTTGCAGTGGAACAAGATGGGTCATTTTCAGGAAGTTCAGTCTCTCGCACGCTATCAATGCATGAAAAACCAAAGCTTTGCAGGTGGACGCATGCAGGTCCTGTGAGTGGGGCGGATGATGCCAGCATTTTTTTAATCTACTATGACCTTCAGTTTCTCATTATGCATGCTTTTCTGCTATTTATGTTTGCATAACATTAAGTTACACGTATTCTGAACCACTGCCATTTTAAAAAAAAATATTAATAGCCAAGAATTCTATCTATTTTACAATATAATTTACCTTCAAAGAAAAACAATAAAGAATTAACAGCCTTTAAGAATTTTCTTAAACTTCCTCATGTAATAAACTAACTAAAGCATTACAAGTTTCACGGACTCGCCACGGCTAAAGGCGATCCCACTTGCCTGAAGACACTCTTCGACAAAGCGGCACCAGTTCTCAAGGAAAAGGGAATAGTCCATCTCCGCCAAATATACACAAAAATCGCTACAATTTTGTGTTGTTCCTCTTGCTTCATTTCAAAATCCCTTAATCTTTCTTCTAACCTAACAAAATGTGGCTTCTTTTGTAGGCAAGACGACAAAAGAAAATTTACACGCAAATGCTGGGTTGTAAGTCGGGGCGCCTTGAAATCGTGCGCAGGAATTCAGGTCGTCCGTCAGTGGTCATTACTGCTGTACCTTCGCATGGGAACACCAGACATATTACTTTGGAAAATATATGGGGTAGGCGTTCTTTTCTCACATGACGCACTATAAATACGGCGACCAGCACCATCACCGACATGTCTAGAGAGATCACGGGCTCAATTTCCCAATGAAAAAGGGAAGTCTGACACGAGCGAAAAACACCGTTTGACGGAATTCTATTATGAATGACAAACGAATAACGAGACAAAGGAAGATGGCGGCCTTCGGGTTGCCGACCGTACAACATTTCGGCTACACGGCGCAACAGCTCAGAAGACAATGCCGTGGAACGCTCAAATCCTAAAAAACGTAATTTGTGAATTTGTGAGAAACTTTTTTTACTGCCAGCAAAACACATATGCTGCTATTGCATTATTACTATTCTTGACTGGTCTTTTGGGATGTGACGTCATGTATCCTTGAAGGTAATTACTAATTTTGGAAGGAATGTGTTACCTCCATCTTCTACCCTCAAGACAACAATCGATAATTTATCGACGTGAGAACCTTGCGTCTCACGTTTTTTACTATCGTCACAACTGAAACGTTTCATGTCCTAAGGAGCCGAGTTACCCACTCCCTGCCGTTCACCTGTCTTGAATTACGTTTCTCCGAATGGCGGACTAGCCCATTGCTGAAATCCGCAGTAAAGGTATGATGGCAACGCGATCACAAAAAAATTAGTCATCTATGCCCTAGGCAGAATTCGAACGAGGCCCGATCTTCACATCCATGTTGTTACGGCTACCGTAGTCGTGTTTTACATAAAACATCTCTCTCTCTCTCTCTGCGGACGGTTTCCTCTTGAATTTCCCGAGGTTGCTCAATCCTGAGAATCATCTGCAGTTCGGCTGAGCTAATCCATTGTGAAGCTTTCGCTTTTATTTTTACATAAAATTCCTTGAACGAGGAAGCAGAGTAGCACAGGAACACGCCAACAGACAGACGCGCATTCCTCGAGAGCGACTTCAAATCAGGATCTGTGTTTGAACAGCCGAAGTCCATGCGGGCCCCCGACGACCTCACGACAGTTGGGACAGTCCCATTACGTAACCAAAAATGCAACACACTCTAACCTATCATTTGCCCTGTAGATATACGTAGATAGCTACACCATGTAATCGACATTTGATTCATTTAAACAATCAATTCTGAGATGAAGACGGCAATATCAAGCATCGAAACTGTGGTACTCACCCCGTTGGGACGGCTTCAAGCATCGAGCACAGGACCCATAGAAGTACAAGCCGAAGAATAACCATAGCGACCAGCCAGGTTAACACCTGAAACACGCAACACACTTCAGATGAATGACAATAAATCATAGAGTTACTGAACTAACTGAATACATGTGTTTGTTCTGCCATTAAAGCATGTTTCCACACGAATGAGCGTATTATGTATCTATTCAATAACTAACCATTAGAAGTCCTGAAATATGTTTCTACATTCCCTGCAAAGACTACCACACGAAAGCACAAACAAATCAATAGAGAAATACACCGGAATAAAGTAACGACGAAAGTAAGTAAACGTGAATGATTTCATGAAAGTAAATGGAGAAGATTAAAGCATACAAAACTTGTTTTAATATAAACAACTGAAGAATCTAACAGTCTTTCATGGAGCCAAGAAATTTCCCACCGCTTATGCAAAGCACGCGCTTAAGTAGAGGAACAACACTATTTTCCAGGTACGTAAATTTATAGAAGAAAAATAAGGTTTCCACATACCATTAGCACTGCGTAACAAATCATATTTCATTCACTGAGCGTCCAGAACAAAATGGAATCAAAGCAGTACTTTCGGGTACAGACGCCTATAAAATTCCAGAAGCAGCATAACGTTTTACAGAGTTTATAGAAAGAAAAGAATGTAATTTCACGCAAACAACATAACTGTTTGTGAATATTTGTAACAAATTCCAGTTGCAGTCTTTGTAAATTCATTTTTAAAAAGCACCTCCAGCCAAAATTAAATATATTTCTGCGTGTTTTATACTGCACCTCGAAATTGCTGTAAGGACCTGCATATTCACAAATGTGTAAATGTTTCAGACAAAAACATGTGAATGCGGATCGTTGTCTTCTGGGTTGTGACGCCAAGAAGTATTGTGGGTCGTTAC